CCCCCTTGCACGCGCGGCCGTATCGTGAGCGCTTGTGCAAAGCGCTTGTGCAAGTACAAGCGCGGGTGGGAGACGTCGTGCTTCCCCCGCCCCCCGGCCTGTAGCACCCTGCAGCAGCTCGCCCAGCCTTCTCCAGCGTGTCGGCGTGCAAACGCCTCGCGCCACGGCCTCGCACCACTCGTGCAACGGCCGGTGTGCAGCAGGTTCACGCGTGTGGCCCTGGGGGGGGCTTCCGAGGTGGGCGCGCACACACGCACACCCCCCCACACCCCCGGTTGCAGCCAGCCTTGCACTGCCGGCGTGCCGTAGGGTGAGGTGGAAATGGTACAGCGTGAGATGAGCGAAGGCGATATTTTATTTTTTTTCCTGGAGGACTAACGGCATCGCCGGGAGTAAAGCAACCCTTGGCACGTAGGCGTTCCGCATCCCCAAAAAGCCCCGAATGCTCCCCAAACCACAAGCCGAGGCCACGGGGGGGGTGGCCGGCTCGGGTCTTGCGCTGCTGCCGCCGCTTTCCGTCGGAGTTTTGTTTCCCCTAGGAGTTGGGCTTGGTCGCGCTTTTGGGGTTTTCTGGGTGCCTCGGCTCGCGCAGAGCCCAGCGCCCTTTGAAGTGCCACATCAGGTCCCCTGCACGGGCTTGAGCTTCGGCGTGGGGAAGAAAAAAGCTCGTGGAAAGGCCTGGGAGAGCTTTCTGCCCTTCCCTGCAAAGGCTTTTTGGGAAGATGGGATCCGCGGCATCCGCCGTCCCTGGCCGCAGCTCCCACTCTTCCACAGAGCCGTTAATCCTGGCCTGTCCGCAGGAGGAACGAGCTCACCCCATGCCCCTGCACCCCCCAACGCTCCTCTTCCCCTGCATTCTACGTGATCTCTTTGTTCCACCAGGAAATCAGCCCAAACCAATTAAATCTGACACTTTCAAAAGAGATGGAGGCAAAGTCTTTGTGGCCCAGGGCTCCCGGAACCTCACCGACTTTATTTCATTCCTCCTTGAAGGATTATTTGGAATTCGACCTTGCTGGGAAGGTTGGTATTGTGTAGCATGTACTGAAATCAAGGTTAACCATTTGCGTGAAGCACCACGATAATGCGAAGCAATTTGGTGCTGCTTGAGCTTTGGGAAGCAAGTAAGAAAACCATCCTCCGAGGGTCCAAAAAAGCAGAAAAATTAAGTGTTTAGTTTTCCCATTCACCATGAAATGAATACACACAAGGCGAGAAAAACCTGCTCTGTTCTCATCCTCGCCTCCCGTCCAGGTACCTGGAGAGGGGCTGGCGCCGGCACGTGCTGTCCTCCTCCCTCCTGCCCTGTGTTTGTGCTGGGAAGCCTCCGTTCTCCGTGGGAACACGGCGCTGCTGGAAAAAATAACAATAATAAGAGCGTCATGCGCGTGACTCACTCCTGATTGATTTTGGGTACCTGGCAGCGTTTTCTGCACCTGGAGCAGCACTTGTATGGGGGCAGGGGGGGGAGGAGAGCCAGAGCCACCGTCCTGGCGTGTCCAAGCTGTCCCATGAGACCAGGCATCATCAACTGTCCTGAAACCTGTAGAGAGACTGTAAAAAGTCCTTCAATGACACACAATTTAATACAGCGATTGCTAAATCTCTCCTTCCTCCCCCCCCCCCCCATCTTGCCCCCTGGCAGAAGCCAGTGGATTATCACGGCTTTGCTTCCTCCAGAAGAGACTAAACCAAATATATATTGCTGACAGATGGTTTGACACTGTGTTCTCCAGCTTAAATGACATTTCGGAGCTAGTGAGCCATGTGCATGCATGTAATTCCAGCAGACAGCGCTCCCTGATGATCACCCATGTCTGCAAGACGTAAATCAAACACGGGCACGAGAACTTCCTTTCTGTAAGGCAGCCTTATTCAAGGAAATGCCTGAATTCAAACTCGGAGGGGAACACTTTCCAGTATTGCTCCACATAGTTTATCTAGGGTTTCTACTCCACAAACAACAGTCAACAGCAGCTAATCTCCTTCCAATGCTTTTGGCAGGGCAGACGAGGGTGGGGAAATTACAGTGTCGCTTACCTTAATGAGCCCTTTCCCCTACACTTGCTCCCTTGTAAGAAATAGTATGAATCAGTCTGAAATACCGTGCTCTTTCCAGGTAGGAGCAGGCTATATTTTAACTCTGAGGAGCCATGACATGAGGAATCCTTTCTGTTCCCTCTCTGTCCCCCATGTCTTGGCCACCCCCGGGGTGCGGGGAGCTGCTGTGGCCAGAGATGCCAAAGCAGAGATGCACGGACTGAGGATTTTCCCCGTATTCATGAAGGAGGGACAAAATTATTCATCGGGGAGTCTGGTCTGGTTTGTGGTTTTGTCGTGTCACACGTCCCACCGGCAGGAAAAGGAAAGAGCCTGTGTCTCTTGGATGGGTTCCTGCCATCCCTGCCTGGCAAGTAAGAATCATCCCTTGCGGGTCATCAACAGAGTGAACTCAACTCGATTTACAAAACCTTCCTTTGAAACAAGTTGGTCTTGTGCAACGATTCCCCTGCTGCCTCCCAGGGCACGACCGCTGGTCGGTGCATCCCGTCCCAGTGCCGGAGCTCCCCTGGGGTTAGCAGGTCCCTCGGGCGCTCCACGAGCCCCAAACTCCATCACGGCAGAGAAACAGCAAAGGACAAAGCTATCTGCGGTGTTAAAAGCACAGTTTGGCCGCAGCCCGCGCGGAGCACAGTCATTTATACGCCGACAAGTCGATGCGAAATACGCCGCCGCAATCTGCACGCACGTTGCATCACTGCGAGCAGCTACATAAAATGATGAATCAGACCCGCAGATCCAAGTCCTCACTGGTACGTAACCTTCTTTATGGGGCCTCTGTACCGTAGGACAGCTTTTAAACAGCACAAATGTAATACACCACCAGAAACAATGAGAAATGAGAAAAAAACCTGCAAAATGAAGTGAAATGCTGCTGGCTTTCATAAGTCCCTGCCCAAAGAAGGTGCCTGCAGCGCCCAGACCATCTGCCTGGCACTCTGAGCCGATTAGATGGACCCGGTTTTGCTTATCGTGGCCCTTCACCGGGCAGGACACCCCAGCTGCACCCACGCCGATAAGGCAGGAGTGTCCTGCTGGGAGGCGGACACCTTCTGGGTACCACCGAAATTGTGGCTTATCTATAAGATCCAGTGGGATATACGTATTTTTTCGCTTTCCAAATCTACAAGTTCTCTAACAGCTGAGCAACACCTTGTTTTAGGGTGGGTTTTATCCTTTTCGCAACCTGCTGCCACCATCACGGGGCTGCCGGCAGCGGTGCGAAGCCGTGGGTGCTGAACTGGGGGTGAGGAGGGGGAACGCTACTTCGCCTCCAGCAGCACGATGCCACGTAGCAGCAAATTACAGGACTTTTTTTTTTTCTTTTTATTTAGATGTTCAGCAGCAGGTAATTGTATTTTTAATCGTGGAAGGGAAAAGGCACCCGTTTATGGCATGGTGTAAAGCGTTCGCTTTAGAAGAGGGATCAGAGCAGACGTATGTTGTTAAGGGCATATGTTTGCAATCTTATTTGCAGTATAACCAGCCTGAACTTTATGTCCCCACAGCCTTTTTTTGTTGCTAGCTTGCGTGCCAGAAGCTGGAGGAAGGACGGTTTTCATGCGGGAATTGCCAGTGCTCAGTGAGCGGCAGATTCCCTGTCCCGCGTGGCGTGGATGCAGCCCCTTCCTGGCACGCTGGCACTTGGCCACCGCCAGCCCCGTCCCTCCTTAGAAATGTTCAAAGCCTTAAAAGAAATTTTTAACAGCGGGTCTGGCCCTCATTCCCCAGAACCGTCCTTAGGTCAATGGCCTCAGAATATGCCCTGGAAAAGGGTCTCTCTGACACCAGCCTGGGTTTTTCTGCTCATCCGGGTGCATTTTGCTGATGCTTCGGGGAAGAGGTGGCCGCAGGCAAATATTAAGCCGCTGGGAAACCTGATGCGTTCCAGTTATTTTTTAACTCTGTATTAGCAAATGCCATAAAAATAAGCAAACGGTATTGTTTCATCTTTGGGATGGGCTGACCCACTTTCTTGAACATCAGCGTAAGGCATCCCTGGGTCTTAAGCCCTTGCTGAGCGCACTGAGATGCCAGTAGGGAGATTAGTACTGGGAAATCGAGAGCATTAATCCCTGCTCTGGTACAAACTCGGAGCATCTCTTTTTGCCTTGATTCGCCAGAGCAGCACTCCAGATTACCGAGGTATTAATTTCATAGCCAGCATGTGGATAACAGGTTTGTATGTAACAGATCAACAGCAGTGTATTAGGCTGATGCCAGTGAGGGCCGTGAACATGAATACAAAGAAAATTAGAGAGAATTGAGCCCTAATGATGCTGCGGGGTTATTGCTATGCCAAAACAGCCAAAATCTGAAAACTCAGCACTGCAGCTCCACCAAAGCAATGCAGACAGATCCAGCACCCATTAACATTTATGCAACCTCAGAGGTAAAGGAGGTGTGGATGCAAGGAATTTGGCCTCTGGGTTTTATTTCAGCGCTCACATAATCTGACCTAATTTACCATTACTTAGCTCAATGGATTAATGGAGCAGGGAGAGGCAATACCCAATGTGTATAATTAAGCCTGCCTTTTGTATTACTTCCTGGACCGAATTTTTTCATCGACTTGCCTTTCTGGTTTGAAGCCCTGGGGAAACAATGGGAAAGGCGCAGCACATGCTGGTGGTGCTCTCGGGATTGACTGGTGGCACTGGGCAGAGGAGGCTGAAAGGATCCCACGGGGCTTGCTGGGTTTGGGTATGGCTCTCTTTTTTTTTTTTTTTGGCTTGCTTTCTAGCAGTCAGCAAAATTAGATCCAGAAAGGAGAGAGAAAACCCTGGCTTGTCGTTCAGGGGATGGGTTTAAAGCTGGGGGGGTGGGGTGATCCTGCTCTACCACTGACTCCTCACATGGCCTTGGTCAAATTATTTAATTCTGATGGCTTCACCACTTCTTCTGGGCAAGGTTTTGTGTGATTAAAAGATGGTGAGCAAAAAAGGGTGAGATGAGGGCTCTGCAAATGGGGCCGTGGCTGGCGGGCAGTCCTAGCCTGCTGCCGCAGCGCAAGCAAATAAAAAATCAGTTTTATTCGCCCCAGAGCGAGCCCAGCCAGCACGTCTGGGGAGGTCGGGCTGCGGGGACGCCTCTCCGGCTTTGAAATGGGAAGAGGGGCATTTTAACCAATAAACACAAAAATGCAAGCAGAAAAGGCCAGCTGGGAGCCACGGCTCAGCCCTGCCTCCTCCTCCGCATCCCCCTTTGCACCTCCACTGGCCAAAAAAACCGGAGCGCTCCACCTCCATCAGCAACAACAGCTCCAGCTGCTCCTGTATCTGCTCGTCCCGCTGCATGCCACGGGCTGATATTTGGGAGGGTGCGGCAGGGTGGGCGATGTGGTCCCCCAAGATAGGGGCCGGGCACCCCACACACACCTCGTTCAGGCTGTCAGGGTCGACCTGCGTGTGCCCTAGACGCGATTTCTCCTTTGGAAATTTGGAGATGGGTGATGCCCAAATGTCCCCCTCACGGCGAGCTCTGCAATGCTGCGCTGGGTCTCCATCGAGCTGCTTTCTCCAGGCACCAAATCAGAGCGTGGCCGGTGATTTTAGCAGCGTGGCTATATCCCAGATTTCCTCTGAATTGCACAGGGGGAACAAAGCAGGATTTGGTGCTTGGAGGAAACGTTCCACCCGTGCAAAACGCTGGGAGCTCCCCTCGGCAGAGCATGCAAGCCAGAATCCGGGCTCGCTTCACCAGCACGAGCAACGGCCGGTGGGGAAGGTTTTACACCCACTGGTGATACTGTTAATGGTGGAATTACATATATTCACAAACAACTAATATTTTCTCCGTCGCTGCAAAGAGCATGCATCTGGAAATAATTAGCATGCACAAAACCAACTTGCGCATTCCTCCTAGGCCTCCATTTTGTGCCGCCTGCAGACTCTGGCAACGACGGTTTTATCGGCAGCTCTCAATTTCTGCGTATTTTTCAATATTTCTAACACCCAGCCCGGCCCAGGCCAACCCTTGGCCAAAGCTTGCTGGTGACGCAGCTCAGCCCCCAGCAAACCGCCCCCCAGCGCAGCTTTTTTGTTTCTAAGGGTTGTTGCAATAACTGCTTTTTTTTTTTTTTTGTTTTTTTTTTTTTTTTCTCCACAAAGCCTTCGCCGCCACTGACATGCTCCTACTTGTGCCTTCGTCTCTGTGGATGACGGCAGCATTGGGAACCGGCTGCCCTGCAGCCATTCCCCCCAGAATCACGAGTTGCAGCAACTCCTTTTTGGGTCGAATTAAGCTTGGAAAGTGACCGAGAGGCTGCCCACAGCTGCTGGGTTTTTAGCTACGTGACCGGTGGGAGCCCGTGCAATGCCAGGATGGGTCCCACCAGCCCGTCGGCTGAATGTCCACCGTGCTGAGCGAGGACAGAGAAGCCCTGAAGGGCCACGGGCTCTTCACCCCACGGAACAACCCGCTGAGCACCTTCGCTGAGCCGAATTCCCTGGCAGAGGTTTGCTCCCTCCTCCAAGCCCTTGTGCTGACACCAGCCCCAGCAGCTGCCCCAAGGCTCCACGTTTCTCTTGCAAAGCAAGAGCATGTCTAAGAGCTCCTTCTCCCCGGAGGTCCTATCATTAGCTCAGCATAATTTGCCATCCCAAAGCACCTGCTTTCTTGCCCCAGGGCCGCATCCAGCCGTGTTGGGGATGGGTTGCACCCCCAGCACAACTCTCCCTGCAAGTTCAATACTGTCTGCTCTGCTTTGGTCCAAACTAACGAGGGATATATACGCGCGGACAAGATTTGCAATGCTTAAATCCTAAAGAAGCCCAATATCTTGGCCATGTCAGAGTGCTGTACACCTGGAGCAAAGCTGCAGTCCTCCCTCCAGCCCCCAGCAAAGCCCCCTTCCCTGCCTTGCCTGGGCAACCTGCCCTCGCTCCGCGGGGCACCGTGCATTGCTTTGGCTTAGTCATTGTATTTCTGCATTGCTTCTATGAGAAGTTCATTAAAGCACTTTAACTATTGTGAAAAAACACACTGGAGATGAGCAACTTTGTTCTCGGCACATGGCAAAGTAGCTGGTAAACCCTGGCGGGAAGCGTAGCCCTGACCCCGCCCTGGTTATCCAGTGGTAAAACCTGGTGTGCAAAACCCAACATGCAAAATCCAGTGGTAAAACCTGGTGTGCAAAACCCAACATGCAAAATCCGGTGTGCAAAACCTGGTGTGCAAAACCCAGCGTGCAAAACCCAGCACGCAAAATCCAGTGTGCAAATCCCGGCGTGCAAAACCCAGTCTGCAAAACTCAGCGTGCAAAACCTGGCATACAAGGTCTGGTGTGTAAAACCTGGCATACAAGGTCTGGTGTGTAAAACCTGGTGTGCAAAAGCCACTGTGCAAAATCCGGCACGTAAAACCCAGATGCGAAACCCAGCGTGTGGGCTCGGCCGGTGTCCCTGGGGACAGCTGGGTGCACTGGTGGCTCTGCACCAAGTGGGAAGTGAAAGCCAAAATGTTTTTGTGAAGCACCGACAGCAGCTCGAGAGGCAAAGATTAAAGTTCCGCACGTGAGAAGAGGAAGAGAAAACATGGCAGAAAATGAACTGGTGTGAAAACCCACAGCCTTCCACGTTCCCCTCCAGCCGGAGGAGTCCTGCAGAGGATCCTGCTCAGAGCAGCGTGGCTCCTTGGTCGCATCTGCTTTTCATAAGGGGACCAGACAGACAATCCTGGCTCTGCTGCTTCACCCCGGGGCCAGATCTGGTTTCTCTGTTCCCAATGTGAGCGTGGCTTTCAAAAGCCAGGAGTAGCTCTGGATGCTCCCTGTGAGATGCTTGGCAGAGGCTCGATGCTCCTTCGCTTCAGGGCTTCGCACCGTCCAAAGGCAAAGCCTTCACGGGGTGTTTCAAGCTGGGACATCCAAAATACAGCATTGCATCGGAGCGACTACAGAGGCGTGTGATGGACAGACAGAGGGACAAACAGCAGGGACCTGGCCCGGCGTGCATTAAGGACATGACAGCAGCCATCAGGCTGGGTGTTTGGTTTTGTCCCAATTCCCTCCCGCTGGGCTCCCAGGGATGAAGGTGCAGTCCGTAACGCAACAATTTGTGATGGCAGAAGGAACGAGAAGAAGTGGAGAAGCCCGAGCAGCCCGGTGGGTCCAGCTCCTTCCCTCCTGCAAGTGAGTAGGGACGTCAGGGGAGCAATTTTTGACCTTCCAAAATCACCCAGCGTATCGCTTACCCCTGGAAAAGCAGCTTTTTATGTGACACCCTCCAAACCTGTGCCTGGACACGCATTAATCGCCAAGCGTGTGGTTTTGCTCACGCGGCCACACTCGATTTCACCTCCGCAGCCGGGACGAGGCCGAAGCTCACCCCGGGAACCGCTTCCCGCGGGGAGAGGTGAGGCCCTAGCAAAGCTCCCCAGCCTTTCCGCGAGGTTATACCTGTTATTAATACATTATAGTTGCCAGGATAAACTTTTTCTTTCCAGTTCTCAGGAGGGGTGTTGGAGCTGCGTGGGCACAAGCTGTGCTGCCACTCAGTGGCAACGCGCAGGAGCGTTCCTTGCCTTGCCGGCAGATTTTCAGCCCCTTCCAGGCAAGGAGAGGCTTCGTGTTTGTTTTTTTAACCAGGTTCATTTATTACTTATAGCATAAATATTTATGTGTTTATTGCAGGCGCTACAATACCATGGTGTATTTATAATATAGAAACAAATATTTAAATTTTTTTGCATTTATAGTTATAAATTTCTATTTATATGTTTATATATTTATATTTGCCACTTTATACCAGCAATGTAATGTATACCTTGCACAGCCCTGCAGCGGTTCCCCCAATTATTGCCGCGCTATAAAATAACACAAACCCACCGCCCCCTCCCTGGCCACGCCCACGCCGCCGAGACCACGCCCTCCTCACGCTTAGCCACGCCCCTCATCTGCAACCACGCCTCCTCTCCCCTCGTGGCCACGCCTCCCCCCTCATGCGCGGTCACGCCTCCGGGGGAATCCCTTCCCAGCCCACCCCCGCAAGCCCCAGCGCCACGTCTGTGCGTGCGTGCGTGCGTCACGTCCGGCGGCGAGACCCGGAAGTGGCGAGGTGGCCGGTTGCTATGCGGCGGGCCGGCGGCGGGCCGGGAGGTGAGCGCGGCCTTGGCTCTCCGGCTGGGGAGGGGGAACGGGCGGCGGGGAGGGTCCCTTCGGGGCGGGTCTGGGTCGGGGGGAGCGCCTCTCGGCCCTCGGGACAGGCTCCGGCCGCCGGTGGTGCCGCCGCGCTTCTGGGGAGCGGGGTGGGGGGGGGTGAGACCGGGCCGGGCCTTGCGGCCTGCCCACCGCTGTCGCCGTGAGGAAGGGGCAGGCGTCCTCCACAGCCCGCCGTGCTGACCTGCGAGCTGCCGGGGCCCTGTCCCCCTGCCCGTTCCCCTCCCTGCCGCCGCCCGGTGTGGGTTTGTGGGTGCCCCACGGGGCGGGAGTGGGCGGCTGCGGCTTGGCACCCGCGCAGGGACTTCGTGGCACCTCGGGCAGGTGCTTTTGTAAGGGCGGGGCGTGTGTGGAAGGGTTGTGAGACCAGCTGGTGGTGGTGGGAAAAGAGTGACGGTCCTGACCTGTGCTGAAGTGTTGGCATCTGCGTGGTGGCTGGGTTTTGGTGGTGTTTTTTTTTTTTTAATGTTGCTGATGTTATGTCTGGAGTCTTTACGTTTTGGGGACTGGCCTTGCAGGTGGTAGCAGACCTGAAGATACTCTGTTTATAAAGACCTTGTGTAGCAGGTGTGCTGCTGTGTGTGCCTAAATTCCTCTCCTCTCCCTGAGTGGAGCAGTGAATAGCTGTGCTCCAAGTAGGGTCAGCTAGAGCGGGTTGCCCAGGGCTGTGTCTAGTCAGGCTTTGAATGTCTCTGAGGAGGGAGACTGCACAGCCTCTCTGAGCAACCTGCTCCAGTGTCCCACCACCCTCACAGTTTGGGGGCTTTTTTATATTCAGACAGAATTTCCTGTATTTCGGTTTGTGCCTTTTGCCTCTTGTCCTGTCACTGGGCGCCACTGAGAAAAGAGTCTGCTTCCTTCTTCTTTACATTCTCCAGTCAGATATTTATATGCATTCATGAGAGCTGTCTCCTCTCCACGTAAAACAGGCCCAGCTTTCTTGGCCTCTCATCATGGGAGAGATGCTTCAGTATCTTCAACATCTTTGTGGCCCTACAGTGAACTTGCTGTATGTATTTCTTGTTCTGGGGAGCCCCAAACTGGACCTAGCAGTCCAAATGTGGCCTCACCAGTGCTGAGTAGAAGGGAAGGATCACCTCCCTTGACCTGCTGGCAGTGCTCTTCATAATGCTGTCTAGAAGATCATTTTTGTTTTCTTTTTAATTCAGGAACAGAAGAGCAATGGCTTTGAGAATGGTTGATGTGCCTTGTCAGTCTGAGGTGACTGGCTGATGTTTGAACACCAGCTGGTCTTTCTCTCTGCTGGCCATCTCCCAAAATGGGGAGGTAAGAATCCCAAAGGAACTGTCAAATTAAATTGTGATGTCTTTTGAGTGAAGGACAGGGAACCTAATAATGAATTCATGGCTAATGATGAATTCAAAGGTGGGAATAGTGTCTTGACTACACTCAAGCCAGAGCATGACCAAAGCAAAGCTAGAGCAGAGCAAAGTAAGCATTTTGTCCTTAGCTGCTTTCAGAATGCATTGTGCTTCTTTTTGGTAGTAAAGTCCATTTTTAAAGCGGATTATCCTCTTTGAATTTTAGGATCAGCATCTCATGTTTGCTTCCTGCTTCTTGGCACTTCAGTATCTCTCCGGTGGGATGTCCGCGTATTCTCAACACCACTTTGCGACAGATTGTTGTGATAGGAATACTTGCTGCTGCTGTCTCTTTGCTTTACTACTCTCTGGTAGTCATCCGCAATAAGTATGGACGTGCATACAGGGACAAAAGATTCCACAGGTGAGAGTTGAAAAGATTCTTGTGGAGAGGAATGAAATGTAGTTTTGGTGTGAAAGGGAAAGCACTGACAGGAAGCATCTATAAAATAAATTAATTGGGAGGGGGGAGAAGTACGAGTAAAACTTCCTGCCTTTTTTTTTTTTTAATGAAGCTTTCCTTATCTTGGTTGCTTATAATTAATCTTTCTAATGTCATATTTAATGTGTCTGTAGCAGCGCAGTAAAACTACAGGCACAAGAATGTTGTGTAATAAATTATTCTGGAAATTACTTTTGGTATTTATTCTGGGAATTCGATTCTTATAGGTGGCATGGCACTTTTTTCTTCAGCAACAGTACAGTAGTGAAAACTATGTGATTCCTGTGATGGAAACTGTTGTCCCGTTTTGAGTCTGACATTGAGAAAGACTTCCATATAGAACTTAATTGCCATGTAGTAATGCCTATTTTTCATCTAGATATCTTGCCCGAGTAACTGACACTGAAGCTACAGATACAAACAACCCCAATCTGAACTATGGAATCGTTGTGGACTGTGGCAGCAGTGGCTCTAGGATTTTTGTGTATTGTTGGCCAAGGCACAACGGTAATCCACATGATCTGTTGGACATCAAACAGATGAGGGACAAAAACAGAAAACCAGTGGTTATGAAAATTAAGCCAGGTACTGGAAAGAAATTAATTTTAGATGCAATTTTCTAGATAGCTGCCTATCCTAACTTTGCTTCTTCAAACCCTATATTTAAAATGTCTGGGTGAAGGACACTTGCAAGTTGTCAGCATGGCACTCCTCCGGATTTCTTTGGGTTTGCTTTGCAGAGAGCTTTGTTCAGCTTTAAAGCTTGAAACGTGACACTGATGGGCAGGAGGGAGAGGTTTCTCCGTGAACTAAGACAGTTGCTGGTTCAGTCGTCAGTTAACTTGGTTCTGTTTATTCAATGAATAAATAATTGGCTTTCTGTAAAGCTATTTGAACCAATTATAGAAAGGTAATATATCTAATACAGGTTTTTGTTTATTGTTTAGAGGATGATTAAGTGTTAGCTTCATTCTTATTTTCTTATTTCTGTAGCTGATTTCCTGGGTTTGGCTTTGGGTTGTTGGTTTCTTCTCTGTGTGTTGGTTGTCAAGATTTCCCAGAAAATGCCTAAAGCTTGAGTTGCTTCACTCTCATATTTATCTATTTCACTAGGCATTTCAGAGTTTGCCAGCTCTCCTGAAAAGGTCAGTGATTATATCTCTCCACTTCTGAGCTTTGCGGCTGAACATGTGCCACGTGCAAAACACAAAGAGACTCCTCTCTATATTCTGTGTACTGCAGGAATGAGGATTCTGCCAGAAAGGTTATTGGCTGTCTTATTTTTAGCATTTAGAATAGCAGTCCTGGTGTGACTATTTTTAACTGTTCAAAATGTAATTTTGCAGCCAGCAGAAGGCAATACTTGAAGATCTGCTCACTGATATTCCTGTGCATTTTGATTTTCTGTTTTCGGACTCACATGCAGAGGTTATTTCGGGGAAACAGGAAGGTAGGTTAACTTTGGAAAAATTATCTTTGAAGTCTTTATTACTTTCACAGTACAACTTGGATAATTTTTTTGTTGTTGTTGCTTTTTAAAATTCTGGTTTGGTTGAGAGACCTTATTCCTCAGCGACATATGGGATGTGGAGATGATCATCTGCTGTGATCTTCTAACTTGTCTAAATGTTTTCTAATTGGCAGCGAAATAACTTATCTGTGTTCAGCAGGAATTTTAGTCCATTTTCTCTGGCTTTGGGGAGGGAGGGTTAAGGATAAGGTACAACTTTATTGATGGAAGAAACTTTGCAGGGAAAAATGGTTTCTAAAGGAGTGATGTTTTGATGTGATCAGTTCACTAGAGACTTAAAATCACTTTAAAAGCTAACGTGCTTACTTTTTCTGAAACTTACACATTGGACAGTCTTTAACACTTTGAACTAGGATTTTTAGCCTTGACTTGGGAGAGAAGGACTAGAATAACTTGTCAGGAATATTTAACTTCAAAGTACTTTATATATTAAAATATGAGCAGTGATATATCTTAACTCATATGCAAAAAATCCCTCTTTGTTTTTAAGATGATATGTACCAGATATTCCTGAAATGTCCAAATATGTTTTCTTATGCATGTAGGAGTATATGCATGGATTGGCATCAACTTTGTTCTTGGAAGATTTGAACACACAGATGATGGTAGGTATCTTAATTGTGAATTGGATTTTAGGAAGTACATTCCGTCGAGTATGTACCTGTGCTTTCACTGTTGATGGTATGTTTTTAGACAGAGATGTTAGTGAATAGTGTGTGTGCAGATGCTGATGTTGGCTTAATTCGTATGTGAAATTTCAATGATCTGCATTGCTACAGAAAAGAAGTTAACTACAAGTAGTGTACTGCTGCTTTAGACCCACCCTAGTTGTATTTCTTAATGCCTACTCATTGTTTTATCCAGAGGATGAAGCGATTGTGGAGGTGCATGTCCCAGGCAGTGAAAACAAAGAGGCCATCTTTCGTAAGAGGACAGTGGGTATTCTTGACATGGGCGGAGTGTCGACTCAGATAGCATACGAAGTCCCTAAAACTGTAAGCTTTGCCTCTTCACAGCAGGTTATTATCTGTGCAACTTTCTTCTTTTCCTTTTGATTTATTTTAATGCATATTCGTTGTTTTGTTTTCTTTGTTTTGAGTCCTATTCTTCATTACATCACATTCCAAAACCAAGGCAAGAGAAGATGGCAAATACCAGTTCTTCATCAGCTAAGCAATTCATTTGTATTTTGTTCTTTCAGAAAGCTTATTTCAGTTAGTATAATTTGCCTCTAATTTTTAAGTGGACGTGCATTCTTTGTGTGCGTGCATGTATGTATGTACAATTTTTAAATTTGTGTTACACTTAAGAGACTGTATTCTGGAGTTTAGAAACCAAAAGTTGTGTGGCTCTTCTTTTATATAAGAACTTATATAAGATGGGACTTTTCCTTCAAGTTGGGTTGGTAGAAACTGAATTAATAGGACACGGGGTAACAGTACAGTTTGTTTAAGTATCACCCAAGTCCTCAGCACAGTTTGTCTGTTGTAGGAAGCAAATTTCTTTGTTACAAGTCTTAAATGGAACTTAAATTGCTCTAACTTCAATCTACTGAGTTCTGGAGTAATTCCTGAATTTTTGAAGTTGGATAATTTCTCTAAATTAATTGGAGGTTATCTAAAGTAAGAATACCATAAAAGCCCTATGTTTTGACTCTCAATGCACTGTTATAATGATGTACATATTTATTTTTTTTTAATCTTCCTGTGAAATGATGCATTTTCATTATTGCACGTTTTAATAGCTACACTGCCTTTCAGACAGATGGCATAACAAATAGTTTGGGCTGTTAAACAAAAATATGGGCATTTAGATTCAGAGCAGATTGTCCCAGTGAAGTATGAACTGGAAATAGGAAGAGCTGCAGACAATTGATGATGACTGTTGTATGGCTCTGTCTGAACACAAGCCAATATAAAATAGGTATTCTGGTCATGGAACCTGTCCAGGTTCCCAGACAGAGAATGACAAGAGAGTCAAACAACTGACTGTGACACTTACAGTGCTAGTGCTGTTTTTCATTTACAATGTCAGTTGGAAGCCGTGCAAAGTTATGCTACGTTTCTGAGCGCGTTGTACATGAAGGGTGTCTGTTACTTATCTCTTAAATATCTGAAAAGCTACTGCAAGTGACTGATGTATGGTATGGGAGGAGAGCTGAGTGACTGACAGGTCTGCTGAAAAACTTGAGAACTCCAGATTGGAAAATGAAGAACAGCTCTGCTGGGCAGACCATAAATCTACTTAACCTAGTAATCAGTAGTATGGGGACTCGGTCAGAAATGGTAGCATTAGGGTTAGTAGCTGCAGTGCATACTTTTTCATAGGAAAAGATACTTTAGTGTCCTTAGTGGCAGTTCCTGGCCTTTACAGTTCATTGGGTGTCAGTAGCAATAATGCAGTTCTCTGCAAGCAATATGCTTTGCTCTCCCTATGAAGTAGAAGGTAATGCGGACCTGTGAAAAGCAAAATAGATGAGCAAGGAGTGAAGTTTTAAAGGTGTCAAGGGCATCCAGTTGTCCAAAGAACATGTCTTTAGGTTCTGGTTCATATTGTTTATACCTAATCTTGGTGCTTGTGTTCCTGCAGGAGGAAGTAGCCAAGAACTTACTTGCAGAATTCAACTTGGGTTGTGATGCTCATCAAACTGAGCATGTGTATAGGGTCTACGTTGCAACATTCCTTGGCTTTGGAGGAAATGCAGCACGCCAGAGATATGAAGACAGTCTATTTACCAGTACAGTGCTTAAAAACAGGTAGCTGCCTGCAGTCACTTGGGGATATGGGTTCTGTGCCTCACTAGGCTCAGTAACCCCCTAACTTGAAAATATTTAGTAAAATGTCCTGGCAAAAAACTTAATTTCTACAGCGTGCTGCATGCAATGCTGAAGTTTCTTTAAATGAGGATGCTCTGTTTTGATGCTGTTGTATCTCGGAGCTTGATGTTTCTGATATGCAGTTGTTACTGTGCTTGCTCTTTTATACAGACTGCTGAGCAAACAGACTGGTATGACTTCTGATTCACCCTACCTAGATCCTTGCCTGCCCCTGGATGCTCAGGATGAGATCCAGCAGAACGGACAGATAATGTATTTGCGGGGAACAGGAGATTTTAATCTGTGTCGTGAAATTATTCAACCATTCATGAATAAGACTAATGAAACGCAGACATCACTTAATGGTGTCTATCAGCCTGCTGTGCACTTTCAGAACAGTGAATTCTATGGTTTCTCAGAGTTCTACTACTGCACCGAGGATGTGTTACGCATGGGAGGAGATTACAATGCTGCTAAATTTACTAAAGCTGCAAAGGTAAAGTGTTCTTGATATAAACTTTTTCTAATTCAAAACAACTACTCTCTAGAAGCATTTTGTTCTGAAGGTGTTGCAACAAAACTCTTCCTTTAAAGATCCAAAATCCTTCTACCCTGCAATGAACTATCACAGGGCATCTCTTTTCCTCACTGGGTTTTTCTTTTAGAATACTTGTTTTAAGGCACAGTAGTAAAATTGACTGTAGAGGGAACGGGACTCACAGTAGTCAAGTTCTGGCAGAACTATTGATAACGGGGAAATCCATGCTGCTTCCACCCCTTGCTGCTTTTTAGGAATGTCTTAGTTGTTGTTAGAAAAAGAATTCCTTTTCGTCTTGCTTTATGCATTTTATACCAGTTTCCCACGTGTTACTCCTAACAAGGATCAATCTGTTGGGGGCAGTTCAAAGTAAGGCTACAACATAAATTAGAGGAATAGGACTTGCTTTGTCAATGCCCTAAAAATAGGTTGTCTATTTTTCGTCTCCAAGTACGTAACTGAAGAGTTTAAGTGCTGCTGAATATTAACTTAACCACAAATGCCATGTATGGATCAAAATGTTACACTAAATGAAATTTGTGATCTGACTTATTAACAGTGCAAGGGAAGCCATTATTTTTGAGTTTTCTAGCTTTCCGTATTTACAGAGCATCTTATCTCGTGGTATTTTTTTCTTCTCAAGGCAGAAGCAAAGCTGAAGTCTGTCATGGTTTAACCCCAGCCAGCAACTCAGCACCACGCAGCTGCTTGCTCACTTCCCCCCCACCCGGTGGGATGGGGGAGAGAATCGGGGAAAAAAAAGTAAAACTTGTGTGTTGAGATAAGAACAGTTTAATAGAAGAGAAAGGAAGAAAATAATAACAATAATAAAATGACAACAACAACAATAATAATAATAAAAGAATTGGAATATACAAAACAAGTGATGCACAATGCTCATCACTCGCCGACTGATACCCAGTTAGTTCCCAAGCAGCAATCTGCCCTCCTGGGCCAACTCCCCCCAGTTTATATACTGGGCATGATGTCACACAGTATGGCATACCCCTTTGGCCAGTTGGGGTCAGCTGTCCTGGCTGTGCCCCCTCCCGACTTCTTGGGCCCCTCCAGCCTTCTTGCAGGCTGGGCATGAGAAGCTGAGAAATCCTTGACTTAGTATAAACACTACTTAGCAACAACTGAAAACATCAGTGTGTGATCAACATTCTTCTCCTGCTAAATCCAAAACATAACACTATACCAGCTACTAGGAAGAAAATTAACTCTATCCCAGCCGAAACCAGGACAAAGTCTTTCTTTTTTTTTTTTCTTTTCTTTTTTTCCCAAGGATTATTGTGCCACGAAGTGGTCTGTCCTACGGGAACGTTTTGACCGTGGTCTTTATGCATCACATGCTGATCTCCACAGATTGAAGTAAGTATTTGTGTTTGTACAGCAAATTCGTTCATGCAGAGTTGCCAGGGAGAGGTCATGTCCAAATGATCTGTTTAATGAAATCATTGAAAGTGTGAATATAACCTTAAATATTGCATCAGCCATAAAAAAGTACTGATAGTTATGTGTCTAATTGTGCTCCCTTGTCCTCTGGGACTCTGTAACTGCTGGCCTGACCTTATGCCACTCTTTCTGTAGGTACCAGTGTTTTAAGTCTGCCTGGATGTTTGAAGTATTTCACAGTGGCTTCTCTTTCCCTGTGAGTTACAGCAATTTGAAAACAGCTCTGCAGGTTTATGATAAAGAGGTGCAATGGACCTTGGGAGCCATTCTTTACCGAACACGGTTTTTACCTTTAAGGTACCAGTTTTTTTCTCAAATGTCTGGAAAGAGCATTTAGGTGGAAGGTATGGAAGTTTTGTGAGGGAAGAAGTATGGTGATAGCAAAATAGCTGACAGATAGGGGGAGACAAGATGTTGTTTCTAGCGCATTATATATAACCTCAGTACGTATTTCAGGTAGCTCAAGTAATGCTTTATAAAGACTTCTACTAAAATGGGTTCTGTTTCCTGTGGTAAGATAGTTTGGAGGCAGAGTTAGATTTGCAACTTATGTCTGTTATCCCTTTGATTCTTTTCAGAGACATCCAGCAAGAAAACTTCCGAGCAAGTCACTCCCACTGGAGGAGCTTCTCATTTGTTTACAATCACTATTTGTTTTTTGTCTGTTTTCTGATTGTGCTGCTCTCCATCCTGCTTTACCTGCTAAGGCTCAGACGGATCCACAGGCGAATGTTGCGTAACAGCTCGTCTACTTCCCTATGGATTGAGGAAGGCCTCCCACCACAGAAGATCGCAGGACCCTTATGAGATGCTGTGATGGAGAGCTTTTATTGGACTTGCTACACAAAAAGCCATTTTTGCCTCAGGGTTCCTCCTTTTTGTCCCTTTAAACCATTGAAGAAGCAGATTTCCCAGAGTGTGTAATACAGCTAGGCTTTGGAAATGTGGGAAAATGGGGTCAACTTGGCTTAGTCTCATTAGACAATATCTGCCAAAAATTACTTTTTTTTTTTTAATATTGCACTTTTGTGTGTAATGGGACGAGCAAAGGCTCACTGTCAGTAAATGAGTAGCAGCAGCTTAAGCTATGTACAGTAAGAGAATGAGTGTGAATTCTCATCCTTTGGGTGAGATTGTGAAATACGGCTAGCTAGGATGAATGAGGACTGTTTTTATGTTCTTTTCCAGATTCCAGGACTGATATCACTTGACTTCTTAATTCTGAGTCTCCTCAGTCAAAGAAAAAGAAGTGCAGGGTTTTCCAAAGCAGTAAGAATAAAACCTTTTAGGACAGCTTATCTGATTTTATATTCTGGAATAAGTACTGTGATGGAGAAGATAAATCTATTGCACCCAATGCTGTGCTTCCACAAAACTGCTTAAATCAGTTTTGTTTACTTGTGACAGTTTCCCCTTTTGTCTTGGAAGCTATATCCTCATAGTGGCAAAAGTCACTACCTTTTAGTCCTTTATTTCTGTTTCATAATCATTCAGAGATCTCCCTGAAACTCCAGTAAGGTGAAGAGAACTGGAATATGCCTAGGCTTTTGTTTCTGCTAGAGTAGACATGCACAGTGTCTTTTATTTTTTTTGAGTACTGATTTGTTAATTTATATTTTATTTAAAACTGTTAATTTTACTTGAAAGTAAATTTGTCCATGATTAAAAGTGGGATTTATATGAACTTTTGGTGTATGGATATTTATTGCACAGTATCACTTCTGTTCTCACGGTTTGTGTCCAACTGGCAAAACTTTCTTCTCTTCTATTAGGTGTGAATGTGCTGGAAAACTAGATGCTGTTTTCGGTATTGGAGAACTAGACACATTGATACCAGTTTTGCCATACTTAAGGTGCAGTTTATTGATCTAAAAATCTTGATACTTTGAATTGTTTTATTGTCTCCTTTCACTGTACTTGCTTTTGCCTTTTGACTGTATAGGAAATCTAGGCTTGATCTGCTGAACTGCAGCTAAATTTAGGTGCTAAACTTCCTGCTCCTTCCATCCAGTGTCTGGTAGATGGCTGTGTTGCAGTCATAAGAATTAACTGGATACGTGGTGGAATTTTGAAATGGCAACAGAATCTTTAACTGAATGTTCAGAAATAACAAAAAGTGTCTTCCTTTTATAAAGGACTTTTTGTACCTGACAAATCTAAGCACTTCACCAGCTGAGAGTCTGTTTTGCATTTTGCTGGGTTTTGGGCACCATCTGAGTGACTACTTAGATAATACACCTCTTGCTTCTGATATCTGGAACTGTGGTACAAACTTGTTGCACTCATAGGCTGATAAGAATTATCAGAAAACTGACATTGCCAGTTGTTACAGAGCCTGTACTTCCTGTTTTTGAGATGCCTAAAACTAGAGTACAGAGCCTTTAATTGCATGCTTAGATAAAGCAGCCCCCTTTGGACAAAGGCTGACGTTAGTGGTAAAGTGGAGAGGAAGTATAAGTGTGTGATTTGGCAAAATCCAGGCAGATGCCAAGCATCTCTTAGCAGAAGAGATAGTGTCTCAAATGCAGCAAGCAAAAAAACCACAACCAAAAAACCCTCAAAAAATGCCAATAAAAATGTGTGAAAATCATAAAAACATTACAAAGTTGAAGGAAGAATGTTTTGGACCTAAAATAGAATTTCCTTTTAGATGCTGCAGCATTTTCTTTTTAGCAAAGTTTTTAACATGTAAGAGAATGCAAAAAAAAAGAAAATCATCTTAAGGCATAACTTTAAAATTGATTCTTTAATAGAATCAGAAGCTCATTCTTATTAAATAATGGACAGTCATGGAAAAAAAACTTCTGGCCTTAACTAAGGTGGTATAAACATTTTTGAAATGAAAAACAATTGTCTAAAGTAATGTATGTCCTGGTTGAACCAAATGCAGGATTTTGACTTTGCTTTCTTATTTTGTAGGATGGACAAACTATGGCTGTGCACACAATGAAGTATGTGTTTTATGGCCCCCAGAGCTTAAGATTTTAGTAGAACAAGCTGCAGCTAGCAAGCTTGGTGAATACAGTAGGGACAGGTACAGCATTGGGATAATGGAGACAGATTGGTCTTGTGCTTACATAAAGCATCGTGTGCCTGCTTTAGGGTTTCCACACTTGTTTTTGAAAGCACCACGCTGGGGAATGAAGATATGAAGCAGGAGTGTTTGGAATGTGAAGAAAGATAAGATGATGAATGGTGGTGAGAAAGTGATCAGGAAAATGGGGCATGAATGGGCAGGAAGCTTTCCACGGACCAGTGACTGCTCTGCAGTGTGCGGTGTCTTTTTTTTTTCTTTGACTTTTTTTCTGCTCCAGGATCCTAGCAGTATTGTCCTGCTTTTTCTAGTGATTTGGTTCAGGAAGGGCAGAATAAAGATGACCCAATACACAATTTCCTCCTGTAATGGTAAAAAGATACTGCCAGCAGAGGTTGGTTGTGGGAGCAGCTACTGTTCATTAAAAATCTAAGCAGTGCATGAAAAACCAGATTCAAACAAGTCTAAGGTCTAGAAACTTAAACAACCTTTCTTCATTCATGCAAAGTAGTGGACTGAGGCCTGTTTTATATCTGTTTTTTCCTCTCATTCAGGTATCAGGTGGTAAAGTGCTTGGTAAGGAGAGCAGGTGTCAGGGTGCTTCAGAGTGAGGTGGGGGGTGAACTTTTAGTATCTTCAAAACTAAAACCAGCTGGCTCTTATCTGCTTGGGGACTTGCTTTCCTAAATTCTTTAAGGTCTTTTAAGGAATCTCATTAGATGCTTAGGTGCCCCTCCCTGCGCATGAGAAGGGTCAATTTGTCATGGTAATGCTAGTCACTGAGCCTCACTTTCACAGCTTGCTGGTTTTTTTTTTTCTTCCAATAAACTGTTTCTCCCAGTTGCTTCTTGGATTTGTATTTCTTTGTGCAGGTTTTCTGCTGCATTATGTCTCTATGGTTGTGATGCTAACTGAGAGATTTGAGGGGAATGGGCTGAGTTTCTTTAAACCCCGACTCTCAGCTTTTCCATCCATGGCCACACAGTCTCACACCCTGGTAAGAGTACAGTGAGCTTCAAGGGGTTGAGTATACTGGGAAAGCAGCACTGGGAGCCTGCTTACTTCCAGCAAGCTGGGAGTTAAGCCCCTTGATCTCACACAGGTATAGGGGGCACAGCAGAGGCAGCTGAGTTAATTAAGTTTCCTAAAGGTGCACAGGAGAGAGCCATCATACTCATTAGAAGCAAGAGCCTATAACGGTTGGGAGAGCACAAGGCTAAGGAAGAACAGATGGTGCTGTGCTCTGGTGTGGTGATCTTTGGAGAGGTTACTGCTTATCTGAGGTATTCTAGCTTTGAAGTGAAGGTTTTTAGCCCTGTTGGAGAAGGTGGGGTTGTGTTTTCATTGCTGTGGAACCATCGGGAAGGTGCAGTAGAAGTGTGGTAGGATGCTATGAAGGGGAGCAAAGTGTGCAGCGTGGTTTGCAGTGAGGAACTGAAGTGGAAAACCAAGCCTAAAACTGACTGGTGGCTTTGGATTGATTTAGCAGCAGTCCTGGGGTAGATTGCTGTTGCTTGGAGAGAAACGAGTGTGTTGAGAGGAATTTCAGTAGATTCTTAGGCTGTGGGTCTAAAAAGGTTGATGGTCCTTGGTCTGTACCTCTGGAAAAAGTAGAGCACCAATGACTTGGAACCTCTGGCTTTTGCTTCTTTCAGGAGGTGGTTTTGATGCTGTAACTGGGATGTGCTTGGGGTTTGGGTATGGAAGAGAATAGGGATTTTGTCCTGGGAAAGTGTGTTTTAGAAGAAAGGACATTAAAAACCAGCTTTGAGTACTAGCCTAACCATTAGGGCAGTGTAGGGCAACAAAATAGCTGCACACCATCCTTCTGTGTAACACAGCATGAGATCTCAGCACACTGACTGTGTGAGGCCCTTCCTGCAAGGGCTTTATGCGAGTTCATTGCATGTTAGTATTTGCTATATTGAGGCTGACAGATGCGCGGGTGCCTTTAATTGCTTTAAGAGCTTAAAGCCCACAAGGCATGGGGAGGAGGCACAGATTTTCAAAAGCAATCAGCTAAGTGCTAAACCTAAATGCCTGGATTTACAAGACTGCAATGCTTTTTGGTGCTTGAACCTGTGGGAAGTGTTTACAAATTCTGCTCTTCTTTGAAAATCTGGCTGTATAGTGTCCCAATAATTAGAATTACCATGTGTGTGGTCGGTTTTTGTTTTGTTTCATTCCCCCCCCCGCCAGGTGTTTGCAGGATGGAGCAGGGACTCTGGAATAGCAGGAAGAAGTTTGTGATATCTCCTGAGGAGGAGACTAAACCCATGTTATTCTTACAGCTCTTTTGCAGCTCCAAATGAAAGCGGCGGGGGGGGGCGGGGAGAAGCTTTTCCATCCCACCCATGGACAAGCCTGCTCCAAAGAGACTACGCTAAGCAACAACACCAGGGGAAACATGATTCCCTTAAGAGACTTAGCAATACCTGTTTTCACTCAGTGCCTGTTCCTGGGCTCAGATTCCCAAGCCACAATGGTAATGTTTATCTGTTTGTGTCTGTTTCTGCATTAACATGCTTTATTTTCTTTCTTCTGCTTCTCCTATTCACCTTGTCCTTTCTCCAGGTCCATTAAAGACAGGTAAGGCATGCAGAAAAGCACAGAGGGGAGGCAAGGGCACTGCTCTCTGACCTATCCCAGTGACCTGGAAAGGACAGGTGAATGATACTGAAGCTTTTGGCTTCATGGCCCCTTAAACATATCACTCTTCTTTTTGTTGTTGTGTTTTTGTGTGTGGAAAATGTCCAAAGGAAACAAGGCCAAATGTGGTCCCTAATGGAAGAAGTGGTTGGGAGACAAAATATACCCATGAGAAAGGTAGGGTATGATGGAGAGGGTGGGGAAGGGAAGGAAGCACATGGCTCCTCCAGGAACACCAGCCTTGAGGAGGTAGCCCTGGAGCTTGTGGAAACAAAAGGGTTTTCTGTCTCTGCAGCACTTAGCGAAGGGGACAGTCAATAGTAGT